GAATTCTGGTAATGGACGTTCTCAAACCACCTCTCTTTTTCTTTAGTTAAGTAATAACTTCTACTGACATGTTTACTAAATCAAACATATAAATCTTAAAGAATTCAATAAGTGCCTTTCAAATTCAAAATACATAAAATCATTATTATCAATCTTCAATTAATTCGCTTTCTTCGCGGCACGGGATGCCAAAAAATATCCTGTTCATGATATTTTTTAACAGCATAATCATTCTTAGAAAATAAAAGGTAAAAAGGCTTGCCTTTTAGTTGATCTTCTTTCTTGATCCAAAGGCGTATCCAGGAATGTTTTTATTAATTACATTCATCAAAGGCACTACTCACGCAAAAAGGGAGGCTTCTAAGATAATAAGATATTTAACTTACAATCACGTCACTAAACTAAAATATATATATAACACAGAAAAGAAGGATTACATGTTTCACTCAAACGTCCATCACGAGTTCTTAAAGTTAGTTAAAAGTTCGGTTTTGTTTTTGCTGCGCGCATGCGCAAATCACGTGGTTGTCGGTGAGAGTTTCAACGCGCTAAAAAAGAAGTCATGGATACCTTTCTCTTAAACGTGACTCACTTTTATTTTACAGCTGCTTGAAAAGCTGATGGAGAAAAGGCCAGTTTAATTATTCATTAACTCGAAATGGTGTTTCAGTGAATCCAAGGTACATGGCGCAAAACAGTGCAAAAGCGTACGAGAAAATGAAAAGTATATTGATGCATTTTTTCCCAAAGAGGTCACATTGCAGAAGAAGAATGCGATAACATTTTTTTGGAATATTCCGATTTCATCGAAAATGTTGTCCAGTCATACCTTACAGAATTTAAAACTTATGATGTGAAAAAAAAATGAGATTAGATGTTGCTGAAGGAAATAGCTGTTAAGCTTCCGCTCAATTTTGAGGGAGAACACCCCGAGGGTCTTCCACCCCTCCTTCCTACCACCAACCTCTCGAGAGGCCATACGACTCACGGTGTATTTTGAGTGTCTCCATGCCGCACGGAGAATATACGTGTACAAACACCCATGCCTTCTCCGGGATTCGAGTCTGGGCCCATAGGTACGGCAGTCAGTCTCACTAACCACTATATCAGCTGAGCAGCAAAATCACTGTGTAATGGAGAAAGTGCACAACAAACCAGGAAACTGATTGAAGGGTAGAATATAATAGTATATGACATTGATTAACATTTTACAGCATTTTCACATTACCGCCAAGAGTAATGACTTTTGAAAGCAATATAAAAAGACAGACTCGAATACCCATTTTTCGCTCGGAAGTCTCATTTACTAGCAGTTTTTTTTGTACTGAAGGACCTGTTATGTTACATTTAAGAAGTAGGAGCTCGTATAAACAAGTTTCAGGATTCCATCGCGGGAGAATCTCAAATTATCGTACTCCGCGATTGATGCTCGTAGCTGCACCAATCTGCAGTCTCGATCATCGGAACTGCAGATTATCGTATTGCGTGATTGATGCTGAGTTGGTCGACTTGAATTAGAGCAAAGCTCACAAAGGCTATGTGGGTAAGGGACGGATGCGTACCTAGAGAACGTTTTAAGAGAAACTGGCTCATAGTCATGTTACATATGATGAAATCATAAAAACTACAATGCAGTCAGCCCATTCGCCTGAATTTAACCCATGTCGGAATATTATTGCCGGTGTACAAGCCACTGTACTAAAAGTACCAGTGTACGGGCTAATGGGATCTTGAGGCTACCATTCATTAATACCTAAGATGACAGGTATCTCGCATCGCTACAAAAGCTGTTATTGCCACATCATATATGGTGGATCAGAGAAATGGGTATGTTGCACATCTCCAAGTATCCATACGGTGGTCACGGATGATCAACAAAGCGACCATTCCCTCGGCATCGCTTGAAGCAACAGTATAAGTATCAGTACCTACAGCGGGAAGTTCAACGGTGTATTACTCATCAATGGCATAAGATCGCCTTTTCTGATTAAATCTACTTTTACCATAACATGAAGATGCCTATATCTGCGAGTAGACGCTCAGAGGAATACAAATGGAAGCTTACATTCTTTATCTTTATTAATAGTCCAATAGCTGGATTAATCTTAGGGAGTAACATTAGGAGTATATTCTGTTCATATCTAATTCTCATATCTGGTACGTTGGCAAACCCTCTTTACATTACGAGAGCCTCAATGTCCCAGGTTATGCCATATCTTCGGGGCCTCCATCGCTTAATCTTTTAATAAGACAATGACGGACAACATATTGCCCACGCTTTCTTGCATTTCCGCAATTCACCAGGTTTCCAACTGCTGCGTTTATTAACGCGTTCTCCACACCTCTCACTAACTGGAAATCTCTCTGAAGGGTTGCAAAAAGAGTGGCACAACATTATCCGTTAGTCCGTACGACAGTTAAAATCTGGCATTGGAATGAACCGGATAACTTACAATAGTCATAAATAACATCCCAAGTCTGCTCGAATCGATCCAAGTCTGCTCAACCGTACGACAGCTGCTATTGTTGCCAGAGACAAATAACATTGCTATTGATTTCTGCATGTTCTGTTCGTCAAAAAGAACTGAAATTTTAATCCTTTCATTATAATGTATTTGTAAAATAAAAGTGATTTTGTTGACTACTTTCTTTCATGCAGTACCAAGTGTCTTGTAAAAATTTTAATTCTGTGCTTTTTACTAAAATATAACTTTGTGACCAAAATTAACATAGCCTGAAAGAAGATGTTGCTTATTTGATTTATTTCTTAGTTACATCCTTAGATCATTGACGAGTAATTCAAATGTTAAGAAAATACTTCAGTGTTTTTTGAACATTTTGATATAAGGCATTTTCAATGATCATGGTGTCATGAGAGTTTGGTTAGTATTCACCAAATATGGCGAGAATGATTGTTAAAGAAGACGAGGCAAAATATGTATAATTTCCGAATACATAAAGTATTAAAATTTTATTTTTGGCACAAACAACATAAATGTTAATATATAGATAATCTAATTTACATATCATAGTATATGTTGGCACTGAAGCAACAAATTTATAAACTGGTGTCAACATTTTAAATCAGTACTCTAAGAATTTTTTATAATGAACTCTTACTTACAGTATATGAAAGTAACAGTTCACAGTTCAAGTACACTGCATTTCAGAATTTTCGTGAATGACGTAATCCTTCACAGTCGTTTATAAATTTAGAAAAAAAGTTTTGAAGAATTTTTCATGCCTTTAATTAAAAAAAAGTATTCATTCATGCCTAAAGACAGAATCATACTCATCATTTCACTTTTTATGTTCCATCTCCATTCATATGTAAAGCTGTCTTGATCAATTGGTACTTCACAGAAATCGACTCGACAAAATCCGTATCCTCGAATAAATTGTTAGGTATTTCTGAAATGGTCTCCTTCTGCTGTTTTCCTTTAAGATTGCTGTTGTAGGTGGAATATGTTCCTCATTCACTTAACGTTAATTTTTATGTATGAGAATATTTCTTGAGCTTATCATTTCTTTCAGCTGCAAACTGCTTCATTTTAAATAACCTTCGATATTTCTTACCGATTATCATTAGATTTCTGAAGTTTTAACACATGTTTAAATAGAAGCCAAGTATACCTAGAAGCTTTCTGGGAAAAATATAAGTAAATCAGTTACGTTTTGCATAATTTGCTATGATTCGGGCAACTGAACTTAGAGTAGAATTTAATGCTGCTTTGTTTTATGATAAAATTGATCACTTAATCACTTATTCTTCTTTACTATTTTCCTCCCGAAATCAACAATATACATCTTTTACGCTTACCATCCGATTACTATATTTTGATAATTCAATGGTTTATTATTGAAATATCTTTTGAAATTGCATAGCATATTTGCATTCGTATTTAATTTTAAAAGAAATAATGATACCGAAATGCTACCAATATGCAAGGCAATTCATTATTTAGTATTAATGAGAATAACTCAGAAGTGATTCAACTGATGCTGAAGCATTATTTTTTACTCTTAGAACACATTTTTGTTTTCATATTCAACTCTCGGTATTAAGTTGACAGTTTTTAAAGATAAAGAGACAAAGAGCGAAAAAGAAGTTTTAATATTGCTCCAGAGTAATTTGAATTTGGTAACAATTAATATCAGTTAAAAATCCAATTCCTGTCACCTCACATTAATTTTTACATGCTAAAGAACTTTGTATACATACGAATCTGAAGGGATTCAAACAGAAATTAACATGGATCACATATCTATATGAGTAAATTTGCGACAGAACTAATTTGACTCACTAATTAATTGTTACAGGCCATGAATAAAATATTTCATTCTGGGTTCTATTTGGTGTTACTTTCTGGGAAAATATGCATTCTCATTTTTTGTTAAATTATATTTTCGTATTAATAACTACATTTTTATTGTTAAAAATTAGCTACGAGATTTTTTTTTGTGTCAAATTACGCAAGTTAATATTTTCATGCACAGTATTCTGTCAATCTTTGATGAAATTATCATGATTTAACTTTTTTCAATGCATAGAATATTGTTAAAAAATCCTTAAAATTGCCAAAGCTCTTCATGAGACAGAATAAATTTTTCTAAGAGAGGGAAGAGCTGAAAGGGCTTAGGTTTTAACGGTCGTCCAAAAAGGTTTGTTAAGGTTTCGTTGAGCTGTCAGTCTACCAGTCTGCTGTTGCATTCACTCCTGCTAACCCATTTTTTTTTTTTTTTTTTGTCTTTTTTTTTAATAGGTACAAAACTATCTTCCTAGCTTTATTATTAAACACATTTTCTTCGCACTTACGCCATATGTAGTTCAACAGCAAAATTACAAAAATTTTAAAAGCAGCATGTGTTTAGAATTCGCGATCAAGAGTTAAGTGTTGGCATACTTTTTTTCTTTTTCTTTTTCTTTTTTTTTTTTAGTCTATGTTTATCATATCAATGTGCAGTTTTCTTAGTAAAATGGCTTGCGAAACTTTTTTTCTGTCTTTTTATTATTACTGTTTCGTGTGTTAAATTTATTAATTAAACATCATGCTCTTCGCACATAAAATTAAGTTGAATAATAAAATCACAAAATATTTAAAAACAGCATATCTTTGCATTCTCTGATTTACATTCTCCCGTACTGGAAATAACAATTTTTTAATCCGTACTGTGTTGCCATTGCTCGCTTTCAAATCGTTGAACTTGTTAAAAATTCGCTAAATTTTACGAAATATGAAATATAAAATTTGGAATTCAAAAGTTGGGCTTACAAGTGCTCAGGTTTGGGTGGAGGACTACGTTATTTAAAATCTGATAGCCTTAAGTGCCGCCTTTTCTCCACAGTGCGAGAAACATTTTTATATTCATGCAGATTCGTCATTATGTAATTTCTTTAAAAGTAATATAGAGCGATAATATTTTATGGCAACAATTTGAAAATAATTCAGACATTTAAAGTGATACCCCGCCAAATCCTGTTTCGAGACTATTTGCTCAATAAGGGTGATGAGTGAGTGATGTGTGATTATGGCAAAGCCTCGAGGGCTATCTGTTTAAGGGGAGGGATGCCTTCGTGGAGGACTATCTAAGGGAAACTGGCTCGTATACACGTTACACATGGGTAAAACCACGAAAACGCCCATGCAGCCAGCCCGTTCACGTGATTCGAACTTCGGACCGAACTACCAGTGTTCAGCGACTTTACCGCTCGGCCGCTGGTGAGCCAGTTCATTAAGGGATAACCTCGTTTTGAGCTAAAAAAAAAAAAAAAAAAGGAGGGCGTTGAAAATATATATTTTTTAAATTGCAATCTTTTTATTGAGAATAAAAATATAAGTATTATATATAATACTTATCGAGGATTTCAAAAGACTTATTCTTAAAATAGGTACTAAGACATTTTTAATATTAAACTTTTTTAAATTTTTGCGAATGAAAACGTAAGATCGTCTAAGAAGATGCCTTTTGTCCTGTGACATACTTTATTAGTCTATTTATTAGTATGAGAACCTAACCCCTTTTCTTCCATTCTCTTTCTCTGAAAACGTAGCCTGTATTACTTCTTCTCAAGCAAATAATAATTAAATTAAAATTTGAATATAACTGTTGTTTGACGTATTTTAATGCGTTAATTAATTAGTTTTTTTATTTACAAGTACAGAGAGTAAAAGAGAATTCGTTTCTATTTTTAAAAAATAGGAGTAGAAATAAAATATTTTTCCTTTTTTAAATTATCTTATTTTTATATTACTTTCTAACGTATTTATTCATTTGTTTATTTTGATTTTTCTTTGTAATGGATTTTTTTCTCTTCCATAAATACTTTATTCCCCAATTTCCTCAATTTTTTTCGACGAATTTCTACATTTAACTTGTATATCTTAGCTGTTCATCTGTTCATTTGTAAAAAAAAAAAAAAAAAAAACCACCCTCTTGAAAATCACCAATTTATATCATAATATCATAGCAACTGATTCAGAGCTCAATGAACTTATTTGAAGATGCGGAATCTAAGCTTAGATTTCATTAAGCGCTTTTGCGGCATATTTTATTGACTTTAATAATACGTTCCCAATCCGTTTGTTCTGTGGGCGTGATGAGACAAAGTATGTCCTGGTATATTCGGATACAAATTGCAAGCTGGTGATGGTCCAGACCAGTAAGATCCGGACATGGCCGGACTGAAGAGAGCTCCTTGGGATGTTGCTGGAATTGAACTTCCTCGTGGCGTAAGGTAATTCAGTTTCGGCGCATGATACGTCGGTAAAAAGAAATCAGATTGAAATTTGTATGCTGTTGGGTCGTTGTTTCCAGGTTGACAAGCCTGAGCTAGTCCATGAAAATCAAATTTATACGCATAACGTTTGCCATGGACCTTCGTCATGATGTTTTTATCATAGTAATACCGTAATGCACGACTTAATTTGTCGTAATTCATGTTTGGTTTACTCTTCCTTTCGCCCCACCGTCGTGCTACTTCATCCGGATCAGTTAGTTTGAATTCACCGTTTGTTCCTTCCCAGGTAATGCAACTGGAATTGCTGCTGTCTGACAACAGTTCAAGAAGGAATTGCCAAAGCTGAATTTGTCCACTTCCTGAAAAATAAATTAAAAACATTTATTAGTTTTTAACTTGGATTTATAAAAATTAGAAAATCGTGTTAATGAAAGTATGCATGTATTAATGCGATTATTTTCATTATACAGTATTAAATAAAATTATAGCGTTTAAAATGAGTGTACCTTGAAGTGTTACCACAGTTTTGTAGTATGATTAATCAAATCATATTCCAAATTATAGCTTTCATTTTTCAGTTTTTGGATTATCTTCTATTCAGGAAGAATGCAAATTAAGCTCATGCAAAAGAAAACGCGGAATTATATTAAAGAAATAAATAGCAGTAGCCAGTTATTAGATATAAATTTTTAATATTTCTCTCCAACAGGAGATAAGAAATAATCTGGTAGAAACTGTTTTAATGAGAGAAAGCTACCTATAAAACCAAGCTACCTATACAGCTTGGTTTTATAAGCAGATAATGATCTAGTGGCTTAAGATGTAAAACATCTTAGATGACCTTACTAACTATCTGACATCAAATAAGCAGATTAAAGAGAAATTCACAGCTCTTGACTACAAGATGTCAGTAAAATGAGCAAATAAAAGAATTTGTTACTTTATATAAATGTTATAACAATATTGTATAGAAACTGAGTATCTAATATACATAACTATAATATTATACAGAATTCGAAGAGTCGAAAGAAAGCTCAAAGCAAGAGATCCGAGGAAGCGAAAAGAGCTAATAATCAGGACTCCGCAGAGCCAGATTTGCGGCTAGAAAAGAAATGCCCGAACGATGGAAAGAGCAACTAATGAAGACTCCGTAGCTATCAGATCCGCGGCTAGAAAAGGAGCGATAAAAAGAGCGAATAATATCACACCCAAGGACTTATCTGCGACTAGAAAAGAAGCGTTGGAGCGATCACAGCTTGGAATCCGTGGAGGAAATTGAGCACCTATAACCCTACGTACTTTAACAGATCCTCGCGCTGCCAAATAGGAAAAAAAAAAAAAAAAAAAAAAAAAAAAAAAACAGTATATCCATTTGTAAACAGGAGTGATCAGTTTCTCTGAGATGCTTCGGTTTATTTTATGTTTAGTTTTTTAAATACTAGACAGAACAAAAGCAAACCAAAAGCTCATACACGCACACACACACACACACACACATATATAATAACACATACACACTTAAAAAAGGTCAGAGATGTTTCCAGTAAATAATAAAAAGAAAGCCTGTTTGTAACAAGAATCAAATTTTTCGCACACTTTCCAACAAGAGCTCTCCGTGAACTAATAAAGAACTACCGCTCCGTTTTTGCTGGATCGGAGGTCAGTCACTCAGTAAAATGAATCTGTTCTTTGAATCAGTTCCGGAGTGGATCATTCATCTGTACTTGTAACGTGAAAGAACGGACAAATGTTTCCCTTATTTGCATGCGAAGCACTTATCGTATCGAGTGAAAGTGCATTAACATTAAATTTGGTGAAATTTATTACCATGTTTAGGCATTATTATTAATGCTTAATATTGTTTTTATCTGAAACATTGTGTACAGTAAAGTTTTTGATTAATTTCAGAAGTTGATTTATTTTGTTATCTTTACTAGGCATTGTTAGGCAAAATTTGAGTTGTGCTGTAAAATAAAAGAGTAAAATGGTGTATCCACTTTCGTTTAATCTTTACTCAACATCATTTGTTTATTATTTAATTTCATTTAATCTTGTCTCCCAGAATATAAAAGTACATACAGCTTTTAAGTTGGATTTATTCTCTACTTTTTAATTCTCATTCTCTTGCAGTTCTTACAGTGGCGAGTTTCACCCGTTCGCTTATTCCGTTCGATAGAAAGGATTATTCTTAAGAAATAATGCGAAGAGGAAACTTCATTGTACGAAGCATCGTTAAGAGAATGAAAGCAATAACAAACCCTCATCAGTCAAAAACCAAGATAAAGAAAAGGGCAAAACTCAAAATTTTAAATATCGTTAGGAAAAGCTAAGCGTTTGTGATATACTGTATGATAGTAATATCAGCATCTGTATCACAGAAATATGTGATTGTTCACGATATTAAGTAACTTCATGAGAGTTCTTTTCAAATTTTAACATGACTAACTGCAGCCAGCCGCCTAAAGCAGTCTTGATGATATACCAAAAGTATTATTTTTTTATTACGCTGATAAAAATCAAGCTTTCCACTTTAACGATTCTAGACATTAGATGCAGTAGAAATTATAAAGTCAGCTGTCATGAATACTACAGCTCACCATACAGAGGGTGTTTGCACATTTTTAGAAAGATTTTGATAAAAAATTTTAAAAATCTTATGTGTACACTACATAACTTCGTGTACGAAATATTAAATTATACGCATTTTTTCCTGCATTTCTTTTAAACTTATTTCCTCGAATTTCATTACAGATATATTTCTCATTCAATTAAACCAATTCTCAATTCGCGACAAGGCAAGACATGAAACCTCAAAATATCTTTATTAAAAATTGAAAAATATAAATACAATTAAAACAGTTTTTGCTTTTAAAATTAGAGTTTCTACGCAAAACAAGCGATTCGGCTGGCGGGCAAGAAGGCAGATTTTTCCGTGCACAAAACTAAAAGTTAACTTTTGATCTCATTCAGCAAAAAGACACCAAAGGCGTAGAAATTGACTTAATTTGTTGTGGACGCTATGCTGAGTCAATGTATGGGATAATTTAATAACTTAAATAATAATTTCAGAATGGATTAAGCATAATTCTCAAAAATAAAAAGAAAACAGTACTTTGTTGTTGCGAAGCTTAGTTTCTCTAGATTGGCAACAAATCCACTATTCTGCTAAGTTTCAAATGTAAACAAACATGGCTGCTATGGTAAAAAAGATTAGGCTTAGCTGCACTTAAATAACTTTTAAATTGTTGATAATTCTACAGCTATAACATGTAGGTTAATTAAAGGCATAAAAACTTTAACCGGAAGATAAGAACAACATAATTCAATCATTTTTAAAGCAAAAAATGCACAATTTACCAACATATGAGAATAAAATAATAAGCTCAATGAGCCGATATATATATATAGGTTCTAGGGGGGAAAAAACACAGGAAAAAAGCCCACACAGAAAAATGCTCACTTAGAAATATTCTCACACGGAAATAAGCTCACATAGATATATGCTCACATGGAAAAAGCCCACTGATAAATGAAATACGTAGAAATATCCTTACATTAATCAATCAATAAATTAATCAATTTGAACATCGTACACGTACTTCCATTTTTTTAAGAAAAATTATTTGATCATTTGAAAAAATTATTGGACAAATGCTCATATTATCCTTTTCAGGGGCGGTATATAAAAGAATGAAAAACTATAGTAAAATTTTGCGTGTGCTGTAATATTTTATACCACTGCCCCCCTGTACGACATTTTTTTTTCGTTTGTAACTGCCAATAAATTTATTTTTGTGTTTAATTTACTCTGTTTTTGCATACTTTTGATGTGTATCTATAGAAATTGATGTCTGAATGCAGTTATTTAAGTTTGGAGCCAAAACATTCTAGAAGACCACAGTTTCCAATCGAAGTGTGGAATCATTATGAAGCAGCCTTCGAAAATCTCCTAAAACAACAAATTATTACAAAAGCTTTCATAAGGTACTAAATTCATTGTTTAATTGTAGCCATTCTAGTATGTGGTTTTTGTTTGACGGACTGGAAAAAGATTTAGCCTGTCAACGTTTATTATTAGCTATTGTAAATACAGGGTCTCCTGAAGTTAAAAAAAGAAAAAAAAAAGGAATATATGTAAACTTACATTTGGTAAATCGCGAATCATGTAAGAGAAACTCTGATGAAATCGGTGATAAAATTAGATATTTACATATATTAGCTAATATTCAGTAAGTTTGTCGAGACATTAGGTATTTTGGAAACAGAAGATGGGAAAAATCATGTTTATATATAACAAGACATGCTAAAAATTCGGGAGAACTACCTTATAAGTTAATGTGAAAAATACATGATTTATATATAACAAGGTATTTACGTAATTTAAATAAATAATTGTTTCTATTTGCTTATTCTTCTAAATGTTTTGGTTATAAAATGTGTAACTTATACTTACTACTATTTTTTTAACAATTAAAATTGTAACAATTTTTCACTGTATATTCTGCATTTCATTTTTCTTCCTTCCTCCTCTCTTTTTCCTAATTCAAAACGGCCCATTTGTTAAGCTTATATAGCAACTAAATCTACACATAAGTTATACCGTTTTTGATATATATATATATATACACCATAGATGTTTTGGTAATTTAAATAATTTTTCTTTGAAAAATTCAAGTAGGTGTACGATGTTCAAATCGATTAATTATTGATTGATTAATGTAAGGATATTTCTACTTATTTTATTTATCAGTGGGCTTATTTCTATGTGAGCATATATCTATGAGCTTATTTCCATGTGAGCATATTTCTAAGTGAGCAGTTTTCCATGTGAGCTTATTTCTATGTGGGCATATTTCTGTGTGGGCTTTTTTTCCTGTGAGCATTTATACCTGTGAGCATTATTCTGTGAGCACTTTTCCTGTGACTTTTTTTCCTTTTGGGGCATTTTTCCGGTTACCATATATATACACTTTTCGTGCATCCGATTGCCACTAAAAAGAGAGGTGCACAACTACATGCTATAGCAGTCCCCTAAAATTGGCGAGATACATACATGCGTACGCGTACAGACATGTGTACAGACGCAACAAAAAAAATCGCTTCTGAATCCGTTTTAAATTAGTTTTATAATTCGTTTTGGGGGAAAAGAGTCCTTTATTCTGTCCTTATGTACAGATGTCACATAAGGACAGAATTTAAACATCTTTAAATTGCATTTGATAGCGGTTAAAATGGATATTTTCGTTGAAATATGGTTCTTGAAATTTTTCGTGATTACAATACTTCCTGTACTTCGTACAAGGAAGTAAAAAAGGCAATGTTTTGGAATAAAAAACTCTGGCACAGCTTATAGTTTGAA